ATTTTGGCAATATTTATTTAATTGAGTGTGTCACACAAGATCTTTCTAATTCAGTTAATCTCTCAAGTGATTTGCTACTTATTCTATAAAAAGTGAAATTTAGCTAGTGCACAAACTCGGGATAAGTTATATAGAAGTAAGAATTACATATTTCACTCACTCGATAAGTGATTGCAAGTTTGTCGGCAGTCAAATATAAAATACAATGCATGAAGAATGTCAAATTTAATTCTTGTTAATTCTCTCTCAATCATATTTGTCACATATGATCTTCCTAGATTAGTTTATCGATCTCTCTAGTGATTTGCGACATATCTCACAAAAGTGAGATACAGTCTGTGCATGAACTTGATAGATTATATAGAAGTGAGATTTATATATTATATTAAGTTACATAGAAGTGAGATTTACACATTATATATTTGAGAAGTGTTTGCAGATTTCTTTCGTCTCTAAACAATACTCTCATTTTACTTATCTTGTTTACTATTCACTGGTCAAATTAATCATTTCTTTATTATTATTTTTTTTTAAGTAATTTTTAGTTTTTTTTTATATTTAATAGTATTTTTAATGTAGTTTTTAAATATATAAATTTTGTATACTAATACTAAATTTTATAGTATGAAAAATTAAATTTAAATTAACTTAAGTCAAGCATTATTAATTGAATCGAAACGGAGTGAGTAAAATATAATTCATGAAGTCAGTGGCGGAGCCATTGTGGGGACTGCTGCCACCGTCCTCACTCACCCACCCAATATATATTAAATATACCAACATTTAAACAAAGATTGATTTGGCTTAAATGGTAATGCTTCTAATCCTGCAGCTGAATTTTTTGTTTATATTTTTTCTTCTTTTAATATTAATAGTGAGATGAGTGATTTATAATTGTGTTGTTTTCTATTTATAAACTTTTTTCTTTCTTTTAATAGTAATAGTAATTAAGATGAGTAATTTATAATGTGTTTTCTATTCAAATTATTTTGTCTAATTAATTATATTTTATATACATTTTTTATTTTGATGTATTTTGAATTTTCATTTCTAGTCAACAATATTTATGATTCATTCTCTAAATGTTTTTTTTAATAAAATATTTCTTGTTAGTTTTAGTCTTTTACCCCACTAAAGAATATTCTTAGATCCGCCAGTGCCTGAAGTGTGTTTATATGAAGTTATAAAGGTACAAGAGTATTATTTTATGGATTAATAATAAAGAGTGCCGTCAATCCGACTAATGAGCGGCTTTCATGGCCTCGGAGTGTGTTGTTTAAGGTGCATAAACTCATCTTTTAAGGATGCAATTGATGGCCAAATATTATTATATGTGTGTATTTGTACTTGTGTTGCCTGTTTAATGTACTTCAGTCTTCAGACTTCAAGATTCTGGTTTTGTTTTAATCCAATATTAAAACCACTTCATTGTGAACATCAATGAACCAAAGTACACCTATTTCCTCTATCCCAATAACACCCAGATTTGATTGAAATTATTTATAATTTATTTTTTTAAAAAAAATTAACTTGATATTTGTATATAAAATTTATATATTTAAAAAGTATATTAGAATATTATTAAACATAAAATGTCCAGTTTAAAAATGTTTTTTTTTTTAAAAAAAATCGAATAGGAAAGAGTCTAATCAATTAATAAACAATTATAGATAAAATGTGATTGATAATGTATACAATAAAATTTTAACTTAATTTCAGTTGTGACTTTCTGTTACAAATATTTTTGTTGTGGGCTATGTTTAGTAAAATTTATTTTAAATTATACAAATAAGTCATAAACTTTGTTTGGTAAAACATGAAGATTATTTTTAACACCCTCGCAAGTCTATTGCATAAGGCCTTCTTAATGTGCTTTACTCGTTTGTGGCATTTTTGGATTATTACACAATAATTGGATTTACTCTATGCACTTTTAAGTAGTGGTTGCAACTTTCTATAATTCAAAAAAAAAAAAAAAAAAAAAAAAGGCATTCTGAATCTCATCGGAAACATAAATGAGAAAAAAAAACACGGTGATGGAATGTGTGAATTGGGTCTCTTGTGAGCGCACGAAGACTATGATCTGACCAGTGAGGTGATTGTGTAACTTGCGATTATCTCTGCAATGACTCTAGAAGCGGGGTCCTATAAGCTTAAATTTATTCCACTAAAATTGAGATCACATAAGTATTTTAAAAAATGACATGAGTAGATTTAATAATCTATTACTCCGTAGTTGATTAAGTTTGATCGATTTTGAAGGGAGAGATCAATGCTGAAATTAACCCAAAATTATAATAAAAGTTGAAATTTAAAAATATAGCTATTTTTTTTAATTGTAAAGAAAAGACATGTGCAAGGAAGCATATATATATATATATATATATATATATATATATATATATATATATATATATGTTGGCATGGATTTGTGTTTTCTTAATCACTTGAGCCTGCAAAATGTCTCATGATATTATTATTATTATTATTATTATTTTTCTTCCTTGTCTGATCTGTTGTTAAGGGTTTCCAGATCTTCAGTACTAAAGCCATGTACTTTTGTATATTTTTTTTTTCCAAGCATGCATCTTAAAGCTATATATATATATATATATATATATATATATAGTCAATGATAGTAATGTTCTAATAGCATGCATCTTTTCTCTTATGCTGGCTTTATTATTAATGATTGTTGTCTTCTTTAAATTACTCGATTAGCTTAGTTTCTAGCTCTTCTAATATAGTAGCTCATACTCTAGCTTCATCTACTTACTCTCAGGCTAGCACTTTATACTGGAACTTCGTCCTTCCTGACTTTATTTTTGTTTATATTAAGTATGCCACTATGAATTTGAACTCAAAAAAAAAAAATGTTCTAATAAGAATTTTAAAAAGATGTATTTGTGTATTATGTTGTAATAATAATAAGAATTTGGATAGTTTGCCAACACTTTCTCGCCGTTCTCGGTGGTTTGTGAACTATTATACATGAATAAAATTTGCTGTGTATACTCTTGGATAATAATAGAAATTAAAGTTTCTCTCGTCACATAAAATTAAAAGTTAAAGAGTAAACACTTATTCTAAAATGGTTGAACCAAATCCAAGGGCTCCCACATGATAGGAGAATTGTTATTTGAGCATAGACACTTTTGAATTATGTATATTTATGTTTTATTTATTTTGGTTTCTTAATCTCGTTTTCTCAATAGAATATATTGAAAGCATGATATTGGGAGGGGATTGTTAAGGGGCGGAGGCTTGGAAGATTGAGCTCAACATCTCACCATCAAAATATAAGATCGAGTCAAGTATAACGTAATTAATAAAGTTGTTCTTTTGTTACTAGCTACTCCATATAATTCTATTCCATATAATTTTTAGCTAGTGATAAAAGTTTGATAGATTCAAACAAATTAATATGATATGATATGATATTGTGGAGAGTATAGAGTTTTATTCTTGTGATTGGTGAAATCGTTGCCCAATTGATCTCTCAATATTCTGAAAATAAGCTAATTAACGTACAGCAACAACAACCAAGACTATGTGGTCTAATGGTATCCGGATTGAATTTCCATTTGAAAGGTTACGAGTTCAAGTCTCAGTGGAGATACAATGTAATAGGACCAGTAACATTCAAAAAAAAAAAAAGTACAGCAACAACCGCTACTCTGATTTTCTTGGTTCTTTTCCCCTTTGTATTTTGTTTTTGTGAAGGATCGGAGATTGTTGTTCTGTTATTAGTTTGTGCATGAAAGCGACATTTGGCTCCAGCCAACATCATATCGCCCATGTATAGTGACAACCAGATATATACAACAACTGACTCTGAACATGTAACCTAAACCACACCGAAAGCGATAGCGATATTTGGGTATAGCTTCTCTGGTAGTTTCTCTACGTCTTAATCTAGTACCCACCCACCCACCCACCCCCCCCCCCCGCCCCTCACCCCACCCAAGGAAAAAAAACAGTAAGTAGAAACAAATATATTCACCATGGACTTGCGTTGGCTTGGTCTAAGGATTATAGGAGCATCACGTACACCCTAAACGCCCCCACATCCCGACCCCTCATAAAATTGTGAAATTGATTAATAAATACTAGACTTTTACTTACTGCCCACAATGAGCTCCTCTCAATTTTTAGATAGATAGATAGATGAACTACACATGTCTTACGTATGATATACTCAACACGTACACCACTCATGTATGAAGGCAAATTATACCATGAATCATGATTTACCTTGCATTGTGAATCATAGTCAAAAAATAACTTTTAATCATGTACTTGCAAAAATTGTAAGTAGATTAATGGTAATCACAGACATATAACATGATAACTACAGACATATAAATTGTTAACTATATGTACATAATATGTTAACTGCAAACATATAACATATTAACCAACATCTTATATGTCTACAATTAACATAGTATGTATCTGCAGTTAATCTTTTGTGTTTATCATGTTATGTGCCTTAACAAGCTTGGTTGGTGTGAGTGGTTGTGCACTATCATCTTTTAAGAGAGGTCGGGAGTTCAAATCCCCCTCTCTTGTACGAAAAAATCAATTTGGCAAGCTATTTTCCCTAATTTTATAGGCCGGGAGGGACAGAGGCCTCATCTGTACACAAGGTCCGTTAAAAGGCCGATTAATTTCACATTTAATGTTTATTTTTTGACGTGAGATTATTTAGAAAGTCAATCAAAGAAACCATTTTATATTGATTCAACAATATCCGTGATTTAGCTAATCTCATCAAAATCAACTCGAAATCTTACTACTACAGCATCTTGTTTGCTTGTAGGCCATATCATTCCTTAAGGGGAAGCCATTCATGCAATGGATCTTCGATCTCTGGGGCCTTCCATTTTGTTCAAACCAAATTAATTGTGAAAACGACAGAGAAAAGAGATACCAATCCCACCAATAGGATCACAAATCCCAGCTATTGGGTTGCCTTCAACTTGCAAGATTATTTTTTTTTAAATTTTTTTAGATATTTCTACTAAATAAGTGTAGGAGTCTCTGGACTCTCTTTGTTCACCTGATTAGCTAGCTAGCTTGCTGGAGTGTACAGAACTGAAACTTGTGAATATATATACCTTCAGGTACGTATTGTTTCTGCATCATATATTATCTTGCATATATAGCAAATGATGAGTTCTACTTCTAGTAACAAGAACAGCATTATGCCATGCGCTGCATGCAAGCTTTTACGTCGGCGATGCACCAAATATTGCATTTTCTTGCCCTATTTTCCCCCCACTCACCCAGAGAGATTTGCTGCTGTTCATCAGATCTTTGGTGCCAGCAATATCACCAAGATGTTGCAGGTAATTAACTATTCTTCTTCTTAAATGGGGAAGTTTTTGGGTTATTATGGCTAGATTTTGGGTTAAGTTTGGTTTTGGTAATGTTGGAAAAATTGTAACCACTATTCGAGGATGTGCACAAGATAAACTCCACCTTGTGGTCCTAGCTGGCAAAGGACCATAATAAGGTAAATCGCCTTAAATTGTTCATAGCTGACCGGCTCAAATCGAGAAGGCTAGTATTAGACCAGGTGACCACAATAAGGTTCTTATTACCTGTTTCAGTGTTTTTTTTTTTTTAATAATATACTATGTTTATATAAACAGGAAGTGCCTGTTGATAGTAGAGCAGATGCAGTGATGAGCATGGTGTATGAAGCCACAGCAAGGCTGAGGGACCCTATCTATGGCTGCGTTGGTATCATTTCTATCCTGCAAAAGAACGTTTTCGAGTTACAATCCAAGCTAAACGAATCAGTTGCGGAGACAATGGCCCTCAAAACCCAGCTCTCCAATGTCCTCTCATCAAGCCTCCTCTATGATCCTGCACTTCCAGACACCATGCTTCTAACATCTGACCTATCAAACTCATCACAACCTGCAGAATTCCTCAATCCCGAGCCTTACATCGTCTAGAGGTGGCCATTTCCCGGGACCCTTTGCCCTCTACAAGGCGGTCGTCTAGAGGTGGCCATTTCCCGGGACCCTTTGCCCTCTACAAGGCGGTCCTGGGAAATCCCTGGCCCTGCTAGCCTCGAGTCGATTCAGGATTGGTTTGGTCCTGAACCAACCCGTGGTCACAGTGTACTTGTGCTTATAAATGAGTTTCTGCTAGGATATTGGTCCCACGACTATTTGACTATTTTTACATTTGGTTCCTGACTATTAACTTTTCTACATCTGGTTTCACAACCTTTTAAAATCTTGCTAGTTGCTACATTTGGTCATCTGACCTGATCTTTTTAATCATCGGTGAGCAAATTTGTATCTCTATGTTATTGAACATGAGTGCATAATACTCAAGCAACTTATCTTGAAGGACAAAGTTGCCATTTTCTATGACATTTTCCAACTAAAGATTTGGTCACCGGTGACGAGAACTTAGGCCGAATGACCAAATGTGATAAGGTTTTAAAAGCCGTCAGACCAAATGTGAAAAAATTAATAGTCAAAGACCAAATATGTAAATTATCTAATAATCGTGAGACCAAATGTGAAAAAAAACTCCATATTAGATGAACTTCAACTCGAGTATTATAGTAGAATTACCAGTCAATAATGTTATAGTCAGTGTAATGGTCTAACAGCTTCTTACATATAAAACCACTCGACAAACATGAGGGGTGATCATTAAGGCATACATACTCAGCTGTATCTAACTTAACACTGTGCTAATGTATTCAAATTCGCGGTTTAAATGAAATTTAAAACCACATTTAATTGAAGCAATGGTAATGGCAACAAGGGAAAACAAGTAGTTCAATTCAGTGCAGATTATTGGTTTGAACGAGGGGAAACAGATAGTTCAGACTGTAATATAGTGCGGTTTATAAGTTTCAAGTTTGATAGGCTGCATGCATCTGCAAGCCATCATCATTCTGGAAAAGACGACGAAAGCTATTTACAAAGAGCCAGGTTTCTCGACCTGGAGGGAGGGAGCATTTATCTCATGGTTTATTAAGTAATAGGGGGTTATCGTCGTTATCACCTAGTAACCTCCTTGTATGTATGCATTGAGTCGGTCCAGCTCGTCCCTGTGCTCAGTCACCACAGCACGAACAACGTCCCCAATGGACACCATCCCCACCATTCCCGAGTCGTCATCAATGACTGGGATGTGCCTGATACGATTATCTGCTCGAGCAACAAGACAACAGTGTACTTCTTCAGTCATAATAAGGGGGTAAAGAGGAGGAGGCCCGAGAAATTGGAAAAAACGCAAATTCTACCTGTCATAAGCTGCATCGCTTTCAGAACTTTGGTTTGAGGTGCAACAGTAATGAGCTTGTTCTACAAAAAAACGCGTTTTAAGGAAAACGGCGGGTTATGCATTAATCCACTTTTGCTGTCGAACAGCACCATATAGCACGGGGAGAATACAATTGACTGCACAACTTCAATTTTGATTGGAAAAGAACAGCATATCGAGTGTACCTCTTCAGTCATAATGTCCCCGACCTTGGTTGATTTCGAAGATCGTCCCTGTACTATGATTTTCCTGAGGTAATCTGGCATAAGAAATAAAGATATAATCAGAAAAGAAAAACTAGAATGAAGCTGCACAACTCTTATAAATTTGGGGCAACCCCAGCTAGGTTTGTTAGCGGTTTACTTGGTAACCACAATATTACAGGTTCGACTCCCAGGCTCCTAGCTGGAGTGGCCTATTGGCTTTCTTAGTTTGAGCCAGATAATTATGGGCAACTTATGCTGGTTTACCAAAACAAACTCTTCTAAATTCTAAAGTGTCGCATTGTCAATTCTAACTATCTTTTCACATTCTCCAAACATTATCAATTACAACCTCTTTCAGTGATAATCCCGGCAATTGACTTCTGCTCCCCGGGTTTAACCACCACCAAGGCTCCTACGTTGTGGTGAGTCATCTGCAAATGGGAAATTTACCAGATTTTCATATGTTTCTCGAAATTTCAAGTAAACTGAAAACATGAATGTGGCGATTACTATGCATCTGCAAATTCTTGCTTGTTTTTGCTTGTACCATAAATAATCAAGGAAGAGAGCGATTAATGGCATTACAGATAAAGCAGCAAAACGCTCACCGACTTCACAGCATCGTAAACACTGTCATCTGTAGTGCACCACAGCCACGACCCGTCTGCTCCTTTGCCCTTGGATTTCAGAACATCAGAGATTGTGGTGCTCTCGAAGCCATGCTCTTCGATACGAGCAGCTGATGTCGACTCGTGACAGGCAAACATGAGAGGCCGCATTGCTGGATTGCCCAAGCGGACATGTCTCAAGACAGCAGCCTTGAGCACATTCCCCTGAGAAAAGAGTGCTTGAAATCCTCTCTGCATCTTAGCTACAAGAAATAAAAAAGATTCTGCATTTAAATTCGGAAAATCATGATTTCACAAAACTGTACAAATTTAGAAAAGAAAACGAAAACATTTTCTTAACTCTCCTATTTCCATTCACATATTCACCCAACTGCGAGGGCAAAATCCTATGAGACCATCTCATGGATCATTATCCATCAGACAGGTCGAGTTTTCATAAGTATTACATTTTTCCTCATAAATAAAGTATTACATTTTTCCTCGTAAATACTATAGTTTCTGTAATAAGTAACTCTTCAATCTCTAAATATTACAGATTTAAAAGTAGTACATTTTTCTTTCTAATTAATAATCAATTAATTTATCCCGAATCAGTATTACACTTTTTTTCATAAATAACCCTTCAACCCCTAAATATTACCATTTTCATAACAATTAATTTATCACTCATTAGTTTCACATTTTCTATTATAAGTATTACATTTTTATCTAAAACTGACCCTCTTGCGTAGAAAGATAAGTGAGATGGTCTCACCCAACTATGAGAGGGGACATCAATACAGTAAAAACACCAGATTAACCATTGGTAGTATCTCTAAGTGTCTAACCCTATAAATTGCCCAATTTATCAACAAGGCTACTAGTATTAGAACTTCTTTTTCTAGCTTCAAAGATCCTAAATAGAAATAAATAATCTAAAAGTATAAACTATGCTATCTAGTGATCTAGTATGAGCAAATACAGGCAAATTTTTGAAAAGAAAAAAAATCTAATCTTTCACTGACAAAACTTGCTAAGTTTCAGTTTATCCACTAAGAAGATGCATCAACATTCAAGATTTGCAAGACCATTGAATCTTAATCACATCAGGAAACAAGGAAGATTGACAAAGAAAAGAATTGGGAATCAGAGAAGCATCAATGGAAGAAGCTTACCTGAGTGATCTTTCTTGGCTTAAGTTCAAGAACAGAAAAAGGGGGAAAAAATGAAGCTCAGAAAAACAGGCAAATTAAAAATGGGTTTGCAAGAATTCTATGGTCCCTGAAATTTATCTGTTGGCTGCAAATGGGTTGATAGTTTTATATAAATCTAGTACAGGGACACTTGTAAAGATGTATTGGGGTCCGTTACCCTACACAATCACTCACTTTTGTCAGCATCCACGAGGGGATCATGACCCTCTACCCATGCAATGGTCATGTGAAAGCTCCTCTGATGCTGTGAGGGGTCGGTTTGTCCATTAGTATAAAACAATAAATAATTTTTTTTATAATACATGTTTCTTAATTTTATCATGATCCTATGAATCCCACAAGTAAACGAAGAGATAAATTGAGTGAGCTCATTTGACTGTGGACCATGTATTTCAAAGTAAGGCCGCTCCATTTTCAAAGCCAAGAGTCGAACTTTTAACTTTTGGAACTTTTAACTTTTGGTTAAAAATAAATGGGTCTCTTTCACTCAACCACATCCTCCAAGTTATACATACAAATAATGAACATTTATTTACTGAATATTAGATTTCTATGTAAAGGGGGTTGGTGTGCTGAATAAGGGAAATTATATTGTGGACCACGGTTCACAATGCATTATGGTCCAAGCATCAAATATGCACTACAATTTCATTCCAATACAATTACAATATCATTTTGATATAATTACAGTTTTGCTGGACAATATACACTCAAATATGTTAAATTGTTATTCAGTTTCATTTTGTAACACTGTAGCAACACAACTATAATTTCATTTCAATTCATTGCAGTTTCATTTGATAATATAATAAAAATAATATGTGAGACCATGTCAAATTAGATACACTATAGTGTCTGCCATTTTAGACCATGGTCCATAGTATAATTGCTATTGAATAAGTCTAACTATGCTCTACAAATAATTGATGGATGGTATACTAGACTGATTAAAATGAATTGGCTCAAAAAATAACGGGATCAAGAAAGCCTGAGAGGGAGGCCCATCACGAGACAACAAAGGTCAAAGATAACCCTAAACCAAACATGATTATATTACATACCTTAATTTTAACCAAACACGGGAATTTAACATTGCTGGGAATGTTTTCCCAGTAATCTAACATTCCCAGCAATCTAACATTTCCTAAGGTAATCTAACATTCCGTGAACCAAACGGCCCCTACGAGTTTGAATTCTATACCTCAAACAAATTAGTAGTTGTATCTTATGTTACTCCGTATTAACTAGTTACCAACATACGCATTGTTTTTGCAACACAAAGCCTTATTAATTAGAGGAAAGCACCCTCACTAGATAATACCATAAACATAGTTTTTGCAACACAATGTCCTATTAATTGGCGTGATTCATGCTTCCTCTTGTTTTCACTTTCGCCAGAAATGAATTGTCGTTTTGATCTAGTTCCCTTGTGTGCTTCACTACAATTTTAGTGCCTAACGCAGTGCACCTTCAAATAACATATAGCACATATCTCTTCTCTATCACTATATATATTAAAGCAAATAACATATAGCACATATCTCTTCTCTATCACTATATATATTAAAGCAAAATGAAGGGAAAAAATTTTTTCCGCCATTTGGGAGTTATGCAATATCAAGAGTTTAGGAACTTCATAATCATTCTTCCAAAAGGCTGGCTGAACCCCCAACCCGACAGAACGTTAACTCAACTGAACATGAACCACAGAGGTTAGACTTGTGTTCACTGCGCACAAGGAACCCCCCTTAGACCTGTGTTCACTACGCACAAGGAACCCCCTCACTACTTTGAGAGGTTTCATGATATATATTCAAACAAAATGAAGGGGAAAACTTTTTCCCACCATTTGGGAGTTATGCAATATCAAGAGTTTGGCTGAACCCAACCCGACAGAACGTTAAATATATTAAAGCAAAATGAAGGGGAAAATTTTTTCCCG